GGGGGCGCGCTAGAACGTACAGTCTCCTGGTTTCTAGCCTAGTGCCTTAACCACTACACCAGACTTGCTCTCTCGGTGCATAGTTTACCTTTTTAAAGAAGTATTTTAACGCTAAAAACTGAGAAGCTTGGGGAAAGCATAGGAGGCAATACAGAGATCAAGGAAGGAAGGAAGGAAGGAAGGAAGGAAGGAAGGAAGGAAGGAAGGAAGGAAGGAAGGAAGGAAGGAAGGAAGGATAGACCAATGGGAATTCAACATTAAATGTACATTGCAGAGCACATTTGGTAAATATTACTTAACAGAGAAACTAAAGAGAATGTGAAAGGTCTTGATTTGTAAAGTCAAGATGGTCTTAGCAGTTCCAAGGACAGGGAATGGAAGATCAAGCTGCTGTTATGATTATAATATTAAATAGCCACTGTAGGATCCCTCGTAGTCTGAGATGTGGGGTAGAAATAGCTTAATATACAAATGGTATATGCCACAGCAGTTTTTATGACATATTAGTGAAAGGCCTTCTATTTCTAAAGCTGCATTTGCTGAAACAGCACAACCGAATAGAGGAGAAGAGGCTTATATTCACTTGCTTTGTTACAGGTTGGTTTCTTTGCAAAATGGCACCAAGAAGTGTGAGAGAAACCCTAATGCCTATTTTTACAGGATGCAAGAAGAAACCATGTGCATTTCAGGCATGGCCTGAGTTAGGATAGTTAATATGAATGTAATAAACAAAACAACCATCTGTCACATAAATAATAGCTCCCAGATACAATCAATCAATTTACATCTGTTTTTGGTGAATATCTTAAATATATCGTTTTAAAGCTACCGTCATTTTTCACTAGAGCTGACAAGCTTTTCTTGCTAGATTTTATCTCCCACACTAGAAAATTAGTTCCATCATTTATAAGCGGGAAGGGGAAGATCAGAAAATTTTGCACCAAAAACCTCTGAAGGTTTTACATCAATATTGTGTGCTTGGTCTTAAGGAGCAGTATGTTTTACAAATATACTGAAAGTATATTAAAAAAGCCCCAAAGTGAGAAGAAATTAGAGTACCTAGAAAAAACACCCTAACAGGAAAATGAAATGTTTTCTAGAAATGACTAAGATGAGACCTGAGATAGTCTAGCCATGCAAAATGAGGAAATAATTTTTTTTCTGGGTTTTTGCTTAGTTTAATCAGGTTAGAAGTACTGATAGCTATTTAAATTAGCACTGATGTTTTTGATAACTGGTGGCTTTAGTTACCCTACTGAGTAATACCACCAAGAAATGCAGCTATTAATGAAACCCATTCTGTTGTTAAAATTCAGAATTATATATCTGGTTCTTCTCTATTTATTTGAAAATAAGCAGAAACTGGGGGAACACATAGAACACATATAAATCTCCAATACATCCTCCTCAATGGAAAATAATCTACATCATCTCTGAAAATGTTGCGCCCAGGGAAACATAATGATACAACAGTACCATACTACAGTTAGCTGTATTTCTAGACTGTGACTCTTTACCTGACTATTAACCAACAGTCTGATACAATCTCATTGCACTGGATAGAAATTTTATCAAAGGCAAGAATTGGCAGAATCAGCTTGCTAATACAGCTTCAAGGTGGTTGCGCTAACAGGAGTCCATTTTCTCTCTATTCCAACTGGGCTCAAAACTGCCATTGTCTTAAATATATGCTGTGTGTAGAAATTTATCCAAAGTAGGTAACAGATTAGAAAACGCTCTCCAGGCACATTGCAACCAAAGCTATTGCTTCCAAGGTCGTCATAACTTTTGAGGCGGAAGAATCAAATCAAGTGGTGTGCTGACTTTCTTTTTCTTCTTCTTTGGTGCACTTGTATTTTCTTGACTGGAAGCAAAGTCCATTTGCCATGTCTGCAAGAACCACCAAAGAGAACATTTAATGCAGGAGAGTTTAGTATTTATTCATTCTGTTTTACTTTGAAATTTTTGATACTGCCCTTCACTCACAGAAGTAGGTTGCTGGACTCGGTACAAAGATAAGGGAATAATGCTGATACAGTTTGTATTTATTTTATACAAATAAAAATAAGAGGCATGAAAGAAGAATTCATCAGGCAGAAAACAACATTCTCAAAAGAATAAAAATAAAATCAATAGGTCTAAACATTACAGTATAAAAATATTTTCACCTGACACCATACAAAATTTCAAAACTTAGTACACGGATAGGTGGAGTCAGCTCTTTGGGCACTGGGACCACAGGTAGTTTAGAGCTTTAAAATTAACTATGAATGGGACTCAGAAGCAAGTACTCATTCAATGATACTTTTTCACAAGAAAAATGATACTTTTTCACATACCTCGCTTACTCAAACTGGTCAGAAGTCTAGCCTGGAGGTTCTGGACTGACTCCATGGGCAGCCCCGCATATGATGCTTCACACTAATCTTACTTATAGTAAGGCTAGCCCCATCAAGGAAGGTAAGGCTGGACTAACCAAAGGCAATAATAGATTCTCCAAGTCAATAAACCTACCTGGGTCTGTTGTAATAATGTTGGGTACAAGAGCACTCCAAGGCAGAAGTAATATGACATATTTAAACATGCTTGCTAATAGAAATCAGTGCCTTTCGTATTTTCCCCACTCAAGGGCACTTCCTTGACTAATCAGGAATGCTTACATGAAAAGGTTCGTAGCCTGTTGCAGTATTGTGAGCAGTTGTGTATAGTAAGGAGGCCAAATACCATGTTTGGCCTTTGAGTGGTGCACCAAGAGCCATATTCTAAATCTTAATTTAAATAAATGTGATTAATCAACTACAGTAAAATATGATTATTCTCTCTATATTTAGCCATTCTGTTCTTCAATAGTACTAACAGTTACAGCTTGGTAGCAACATTTGGAAGGGCTTTGGGAAGCTTCAACTACTCTTGGGGTTACAGGTTATATATCTTTTCAGATGACCTCCCTGTTGTCCTACATATAAGATTCCAGAAATATTCTAGAATAGATAATAAAGAAATAGGTCCGTGAGCACCTTGAAATCAATTCAGGAATTAACAGGATGCATCTGTTAAGAACAAACACTGATTTGCTAAACAAATGTTATTTCATTTTTTAATCAGGTATTTGATAAATTGAGGGAATGCTGTAGGCATAATAGACCTTTATTTTGGCAAAGTATTTGTTAACATACTTTTTCATATTCTGATTAACAGAATGGCTCAACAATTAAGTGGATACAGAACTGACTTGACAGTCATACCCACAGAATGCTCATTAATGGAATAAAGTATTGAGTGCGGTGCTACAAGGTTCAGTCTGAGGCTCTTCAATATTTTCATTAATGACAGGTAAAGAGTAACTATCAAATAAGTGGAAGATACAAAATTGGTAAAATATTTAAAAGATGAAGATAACGTTCAAAATGAAAAGTTATTTACTTGGAAACAGAAATCAAACACGTGCGCATTAGAAGAGGGATATGTGGTTGGGTATTTTGGAAATTATTGGAAAATTAATTGACTATAAACTGAATACTGTTTGAATAAGCAATGGGACTGGTTGTAAAAAGGTGACTTATACAAGAATTATACAAGAGCCATTGAAATCATGTCTACATAGCAGTAAATTAATCCAAAGATATTTGCCCTTTTAAGTATTTTGATAAAAAAGCAGGAAATGGCTCGCAATTCTGTGGAGGTTTAATCTCTGATATTATCCAGGAAATCTGGAAGATGCTGTTACACTGAAATGTCATTTTAATGGACTAACTGGGGAAGGGTCTTTGTTATTCACAAATGTTCATTAAATATGAAAGCATCACCATTAAGATGATTTAATGTGTGGTGGCATCATCAAAGAAATCATACAAATTACATTATTTATACTATTTTATAATATTTGAATGATGTCTAGTAAATTGGGGTTTCATGGTATCAGAAACTGTAGAATTGTATTCAGTGATACTGTAAACTACCAGAAAACCAAGCAAAGCATCAGGTTTTGCAAAAACACACCAAAAGGTTAATGCTTGGCAAATTAGAATAGATCAGGTATTTGACTATAAGTACATTGGAATACTCTTTCAGGCCACGTTGTCAGGGAATGAGTGCCTCGAGTATTTTGCCATTTGTATTCAGAAGAGCTTGATTGTAATCTTTACATTTGTCCCTGCAAAGGAGGGTTATTTTGTTCTGAAAGTTGGTAAGGTGTTTGAAATTAACGTTATCCCTCAGCTTTTTGATGACATACCACTCTGCACATTCAGGAAATTGGCTCTTCTGGAAAATATACAATCAACATTTGTCAGATCTATCTTGGCTGACCTCAGTTGCATTACAAATGCATCTGTTTGCCTTGAGGTGGGGTTAATGTCCCTGGAGTCCAGAGATTCATGTCATGTTCTTGGTCTGTGACTGAAATTCTTTTATTTTGTTTCAATGCCGCTCCTCAATAATTTCAAAGCAGGCTGGATAAAAAACCATGATGGGGAAGCACTGCAATTTGGGTTCTCTGCAAGCAGCATTCTTCCTTTAGGTTTTGCCCCCATCTCCCAATACTGCAGTGCTGCCTCATCATGGCAGGGAGAGGTGGTGTTCCTGGGAGGGATGAGTGAATAATGTCAGGAGTGTATGCCACAAGTATACAACCCTAGCAAAGTCACTTAAGTTGTGAAGGTCATCCCAGGTGCCCAGTTAAAGTAAGCAGTGATCTACATTGGGCAGCAATGAGATAGGAAGATGCTGGAGGCAGATTATCCCTTTAGTGACAACACAAAGGCATTGTCTCATCCCGTATGGGAGAAGATAATGATAATCCACACCTATATTTTACCAAGAAAACCACACGGAGAGCCAATATAAAGTGATGGATGATGGCCCCTCAGACTGGATGGCACTCAGCATACTACTAAGGAGGAGCTAAGAATCTTTCAGAATACTCATGTTATTTATGATGTGGATAGATTAAAGCTTTCAGAATGTCTTGTGGCTAATGTTGCCATGCAAAAAAAGTAAATCCAAAGCTGCAAAGACAGAATTACAGTGGGAATTTGGAATGTGAGAAGCATGAAGACACTCAGCACAGTGAAAGATGAAATGAATTGATTGCACATTGATATCTTAGATATTGGCAAATTGAAATGGACTGGGAGTAGACACTTTCAGCCAGAAGATTGTACTATTTTCTACGAAGGGCATGAAAAATAAAGAAGGAATGGTGTTGCTTCCAGTCAGGAATGAGATAATAAGGACAGTACTGGAAAAATGCAATCAATGACTGAATAATATCAATTAGATTTTGCAGACAACCCTTGAATATGACAGCTATCCAAGTTTATGCTCCAACCACTGATACAAAAGAAGAGGAAGTTGATGAGTTTTATGTTCAATCTGATATAGACAGAACACTCAAGCAAGATGTGCTCCTTGTGGTTGGAGACTGGAATGCCAAAATTGGAAATACCAGAAAAGGAGTGAATATGTGTTTCATTGATGATAGAAAGGCCTTTGATTGTATCAACCATATCAGGGTATGGAATGTGCTTAGGAAAATGGGAATCCCACAACAACTCATTGTCATAATGTGAAACCTATACAGAGATCAGGAGGCCACAGTACAGACAGAACATAATGAAACAGAGCGGTTCCAGGTTGACAAAGGAGTGAAACAAGACTGTATACCCTTCCCTTGGTATGACAGCAGCGGTGAAGAAATATGGCACAGACTCGCACTTGGTAGAGTAGCAATGAAGGGCTTGGAAAAGATATTCAGTTGTCATGTTGTATTGTCTGGCCTACAAAGATCAGAATCATGCAGGCAATGGTTTTCCCTATCACTCTCTATGGAAGTGAAATTGAGAAGTCTATAATGTTGGGAAGAGCAGAAGGAAAGAGAAAAAGAGGATGAACAGCAGCAATGGGTACACTGTTGGGAGACCTGAAGGGCCAAGTTGGGGACAGATCGTCCTGGAGGTTTATCTCTGTGGTTACTAAGAGTTGACATTGACTTGATGATATATAATCAATCAATTCATTTTCCCTGTACTACCACACTATATAAGCCAAAACGAAAGCTTGTTTGTGGATATTCTTTTGTCTGACAAGAAACCATTCATTACATTTGTTGTTGTTCAGTCGTTAAGTCGTGTCCCCATGAACCATATTGCGCCAGGCCTTCTTGTCCTTCACTGCCTCCCTGAGTTTGCTCAGTTTCATGCTCAATTCAGTACATGTAATGTAGCTAAATTTTGTGTGGTGGCAATCAAAATTTGCAAGGCTGGGCTATTATTCCATAAACAGTGTTTTACGTTGAATTCTTTTCCTCTAATTAAAACTGCTCTAATCAATTTTTCAGC